GTGAACGGCAGAAGACTGCTGCTCTTTGATTGTCTGGAATCCCTACTCTTTAAAGGTGCACAAATCTCTGGGCACTACTCTTTCCCCTCTTTCCCTCTCACCGCATGCGGATCTGTATACCGTTCTTTTTTCTTTTATCTTTTTTTGTTTTTTTTTTGAGATGGAGTGTGCTCTGTCGCCCAGGCTGGAGTGCAGTGACCCATCTCGGCTCACTGTAAAACAACAACTTCCCGGTTCAACACAGGGGCTTCCCTGCCTCAGGCTCATGCGGGATTATAGCAGCCCGCACCATCACTGCTAGTTTTTGTATTTTTAGTAGAGATGGGGTTTCGCCATGCTTGGCCAGGCTGGTCCTCCGACCCGTCCTGACCTCCAGTGATCCCTCATACCTGGCCTCCAAAAGTGCTGGGTTAACAGGTGTGTGCCACTGCACCGGCTTGCATTTTTTTTTTTTTTTTGAGACAGAGTGTGTTGCTATGTCGCCCAGGCGGCGCTTAGGCGCAGCTCAAACAGGAACTGCTGTGTGTGTGTAACTCAGCTGTTTGTCAGTTTCCTCCCCGCCCAGGAAATTCCCCCAAGCCCCGGGCCTGCCTCTATAAAAAATTAAAAAATGAAAATATTGTGGAATGTATTTATCAGAATCAAGTCCAGGTAAGGAGTGTGTGTAAAAAAAGAATATACAGAGTTCCCTGGTGAGAGGGAAAGAGGGGAAAGAAGTAGGTCCAGAGATTGTCCCTTTAAAGATGTAATTCACAAATCAAAGAGCACATCTTCTGCCGTGTCACTAGGGATGGGCCCAGATTTCACCGCCTGCACCCCTCGTTCAGACGCCCTTGCCTAACCTGCAAAGGGCCCGCCCCGCCAGAGACCGCCTTACCTCCTTTTGGAGATTGGTGGTCTTGGGCTCTTGGCTCTGGATCGACTTCTCATCCTCTCTCCGCTTTCTCAGGCCAGTATCCCCCATGTTTCCTCCTGCTGGTTCCAGGAGACTGCAAGGAAGGCGCACAGCTGAATCTTGGTTCAGCAGCAGCAGACAAGATGCAAGTGCAAGCTCGGCCTGGACTAGGGGAGCTGGCTCCAAAAGCACAGTGTTGGTTACTGCCACAGGCGGGGGCCGCTGCCAGTCCTGCAGGGCTCATGCGCTGGGCCCCAGAGTCAAAGTCAGTCATTAACACTGTCCAGGCAGGGGAACACAGCTCCCTGCTGTTCTCCAAAGCTCAGCTGCTTGCTTAGCTTTCTCCCAGACAGGCCCCGGGAGCCTTCTGGCCCACGTGCCTGTGCCTTGAAAGTTATTCTACCTCCGTGGTCCAACTTCATTTTTTTTTTTTCAAAAGTTAAAAGAAATATTTAACAACATCCTGGGCTGGGCACAATGGCTCAGGCCTGTAATCCCAGCACTTTGGGAGGCCGAGGTGGGCGGATCACTTGAGCCCAGGAGTTTGAGACCAGCCTGGCCAACATGGCGAAACCCCGTCTCCACTCAAAATGAAAAAAAAAAAAAAAAAAATTAGCTGGGCATGGTGGCGGGTGCCTGTAATCCCAGCTACTCAGGAGGCTGAGGCAGGAGAATCACTTGAACCTGGGAGGTGGGGGTTGCAGTGAGCCAAGATCGTGCCACTGCACTCCAGCCTGGGCCACAGAGCGAGACTCCGTTTCAAAAAAAATAAAATATAAAAAATTAAAAAATGAAAATATTGTGGAATGTATTTATCAGAATCAAGTCCAGGTAAGGAGTGTGTGTCTTAGAATTCCTTCCCAAGATTAAAGACACTCCCCTACATCACAGAGCCACAATACAATACAGGTACTTTTTCTTTGTACTTTTTAAATTTTTACAATTTTTTTTTGTAAAGACGTGAGTCTCGCTGTTTGCCCAGGCTGGCCTCCAACTCCTGGGCTCAGGCAGTCCTTCCACCTTGGCTTCCCAAAGGGCTGGGATTTCAGGGGTGAGCCACCGCGCCTGGCCAGGTACTTTTTCATTAAGTGATGAAAGGAATGAAAACATTGCCGAGGAAACCCAGTTCCAGACTGAATTAGGAGGTAACCATGCACCGCTGTACCCTCTCTCTAAATAACTTCTCTGTCCAGGCCCCGGCCAGGAGAGCCATGAGCCTTTCTATCACCCACGGACCTTACCTTCCTCCGTGACCCTGCGGAGCCGGAGAAGCTGCGGCGCAGCTGACCGCCTGTGCCTGCACGGTCCAACCCTAGGAATGGCCATGTCTTGTGCCCAGGAGTGAAGGAAGTCCAGAAGGTACAGAGGTCAATAAAGGTAATTATTAAACACCTTTTTTTTTGGTCTTGTTTTAGCCATGAAGCTTAGATACGCCACACAAAAAGGGGAGCGTGAGGCAGACCAATTTCTCTCCAAAACCGTTTTTGTTCATTTGTGTCTAGGTCAGATTATTTTTTTAAAACCAGATAGTCCCAAATCATCTACACTTTTTACCTAAAGATAAAATAAATTATGCCTTCTTTTATCTTTGGGAATCAGAGGAGGTAAACTTTGGAACCAATTCTCTAATTGCTTTAATAGGCTATATTTAAAACCCAAGTCAGGCAGCTCAAACAGGAACTGCTGTGTGTGTGTAACTCAGCTGTTTGTCAGTTTCCTCCCCGCCCAGGAAATTCCCCCAAGCCCCGGGCCTGCCTCTGGCTGAGCAGGTGAGAGCGGTTGAGCCCGTCCCACTCCTCTTTACCAGTGATGGGGCTTCACCACTTGGAGCCACGTGCAGGCCTGAGGCAATGCAGGCCCCCACATCCTCCCTGCAGCTGTGGCCAAATGCCCATCAGGTTTGGCTGTGGTGCTGTTCACGTAGCCATGTCCTGGCTCATCAGACACAAGGGACACAAAACCTTCCCCATCGGGGAAACAGAGGCCTATGGAGGGACAGGAAACACATGGCCAGGAAGCTCCGGTCCCCATCCAGGGCTGCCAGGGTCTGGATGTCTCCGGGAGGGAGCAGAGGTTCTCCCGCGCTGCGACTGGACCTTGGTTCAGGCGGCAGCCTCAGAGGTCAGCACTAAGCCCTTTCAGATAGGGAAGGAAGCACCTTATGAGACAGGCAGGACAGCCTGGCCCAGCATAAGCACTGCGTGTGAAGCATTGTAGCTGTTATCTTCAGCCAAAACTCTGGTAGCTTTGCCTCGGGGCAAACCTAATTGCATCCCAGATATTGGATGGAAGCAAAGGTCAGGGGTGGAAGGAGCTGGGCCAGTCTCTGGGGGACAGTTTGGGGCAAGCGAGAGCAGAGCGTTTCGCTCTTTTTGCCCCAGGGCTGGTGAATTGCACGATCTCGGCTCAGCTGCAACCTCCGCGCCTCCTAGGGTTCAAGCGATTCTCCTGCCCTCAGGCCTCCGAGTAGCTTGGGAAATTATACAGGCATGTGCTGACCCACGCCTGGCCCCACAATTTTTTGTTTGTTTTTAGTAGAGACGGGGTTTCTGCATGTTGGGTCAGGGCTGGTCCTTCCGACTCCCAACGCTTCAGGTGATCCACAACCCGCCTCGGCGCCTCCTC